GGGGTAGGGGTGGGCTCATGAAGCTTTGGTCATTGTTCAGGGTGTGACTGTTAAATTAATCAAGTGGTAATCAGTCAATATAGGTCCTACTTTATGATTTAATTTTACGTTGTCTAATGCCTGACAATTTTAATTGTCAAGGAACGAGCACTGGGGCTCTGAATGTGTTAAATACATTGCTTTTTCTGGTTTCCACAGCGCGAACAATGGTTGTCATTTGACCATTATGAGATGACTATAATGGAGGCCATCACTTTATTGGACAATCTTGTTGATGAGAGCGACCCCGACACTGACCTGCCAAACTCTGTCCATGCTTTTCAAACTGCTGAGAGAATACGAGAAGCACACCCTGACGAAGGTGAGCTAAGGAAAAGACTGTTTGTTGCATGGTGATGAGCATGGGCGTACCGGAAGGAAAAATTTAGGGGGGCGGAAAGAAATTTGCCCGACTTTTTTGGATTTTGCCTGACTAAAAAATTTGGCGACCTCCCCCCATCGCCAAAAAAATTTCGGTCAGTGTACCATTTTAGGGGTCAAAAAATTTTTCCGGACATACCAAAATTTTCCAGAACCTAACAAAAATTTTGGAAACATCACAAAATTGACCACAACATTTACAGAATTTGTCTCATTTCTTTTTTTAATACACCAAAATTGCCCGACTGCTCAGCGAATATTGCCCGACTGCCCAACAAACTGGGGGGGCTGCCGCCCCCCGCCCGGTACGCCCATGGTGATGAGTCTTGTAATACTGTCAATTGGGTGATTATAATTTGGCTCAGATACATGTGAGAAGAGTAGTTCCAGCTTGATTTTGCCAAGGGCATTAATCAGGCCAGGATTCCAAGCAAATTCCAAAAATAAAAAACCTCCTGTATATGTAGATTTCAGAGAACAGCAAGGTATGCTGAAAACAAGCATACTTGTCTTTATAGCCATAAAGTATGCCTGTTTTAATGGCAAACCGTATAGCCACAGTGGCTAGAAACATGGTGCGATACATTGCGATAAACTTCAACAAATTTTTCATTGTTCTTTGCAATGTCAGAATAATATGAAACTGGTTTTTGGATGGGATCTGTTTCCAGTATTACAGTAATTGGATCAATTTAATTTCTCTCTAGATTGGTTTCATCTTGTTGGTTTGATTCATGATGCTGGCAAGATAATGGCATTACATGGTCTTCCACAATATTTTGTTGTGGGTGACACATTTCCTCTCGGCTGCAAGTTCTCCGACAAGATTGTCTTCTCTGAACAATTTGTAGACAATCCCGATTACAAAATACCAGAGTACAGGTACTGTGCTATTTATGATTTTTTCCAAATAATTTAATTCACACAGCCATGCAGCCAATCTCAACAAGAAAACATACTTTTTGACGTTTTACCACTGTGCATGAATTGTGTTCCATGGGCGTTTTCAATGTTGATAAAATTTCTAAATGGAACGAGTTTAACTATAGTGCGAGGCAGCGAGGCACGATGCGAGGCATGCGAGGCGTGACGAAAAACGTGCGAGGCATGACGAAAAACGTGCGAGGCATGCGAGGCGTGACGAAAAACGTGCGAGGCATGGTCAAAACGTGCGAGGCATGGTCAAAACGTGCGAGGCATGCCTAAAACGTGCAAATTCTTTGTTTGCAATCACGTGACTTTTCATCCAAATGACGGCCAATCAAACAACTTGTTGACGATTTTTCTCCTATCAGAATGGTTGTAGCAATAAAAGAAAAACTGAGCGGTAATTCATCTTTTTAGTCTTAAAAATCCCAAAATTACGTCATTGCAAACAAAGAATAAATTAGTTGACTAACATTTTCATATAACCTTGTCCTTGAAACCAATATTAATTTAATTAATAACCAGTTTGGTTTAAGTTTTGTACATTTTGTACAGTCAAACAAACGTTTTTACTATAATAACATGAATAATAATATATAAATAACAATTGTCAAATAGATAGTTTCCATTGAAGTTTGAATCGTATTTCCCTCCTCTCTAAACGGCTAAATAATAAATTCAATAATTGTCACACCCTCAGTATTAAAAACAGCGCTCTCAAGGACAAACTCTCGAATATGGAGAGTTTTATAAGGGGCCGACCATTTAACTTTTGAGGGATGGGGTGTGTGATTTACTGCTGGCAGGGAATTTTTTTTCTGGGATCGTTATGTGCAAGATTTTTTATCCCATCACCATGTACGATTTTTTTTGGCACACTTTCTTTCGCAGCATGTTTTGAAAAACATTTTTAAATTAACAACTATTTAAATTCTTTAATTATATTTAACGTTGAGTTTTCTAGCTTCATGCATTGCTCTTAATAATACATGTTGCTATGAGGTATAACATTTGGTTCAGGGCTTTTTTTGAGGATGTGTAACTGGAGAGGACATAATTAGCGGGGGACCTGGAGAAGTTCCAGTTGGCAAGTTTGTATCCAGGGCTGTAGCTAGCATGTATAGTTCGGGGGGTGTAGGCCAAAAATTTCCGAATGACGAAAATAATTTCCGAATGTATCATGGCATAGTAAGCCACGAAGGTGGCTTAAATAAATAAATTTCGAGTCTCTGAAATGCCATTTCCTGGACTTTGGGGAAGTTTTGACAGAATGCTGATGGTCAGAAAAAAGCGTTTTAGTATGTCGGAATTTACAATTTGCTTACAATTTATAGTGACAATACAATTTTATAATATTTTCTCTGTTTAACAACTAAAATTTTGTTCTACTATTATTTGCAGTAATTTTCCGAATGGCCAACCCGATTTCCTGAATATGTTGATTCTAAAAAAGTTGGGGGGTTAACCACCCTCAATACCCCCCTCGCTACAGCCCTGTCTGTACCACTGCAGCTACCTACAGCATAGGGCAGCAGCTCAGGCCATGCTTAACTAGGACTCTGAGACAACTGAGTCGACCACCGAAGATGCCCC